TGCCCCTAAATCAGAACTAAACTTCTTTTATGTGCTTGTCTTTGATTCGGTTTGGTGTTTGATTTTATTTTAGCAGTGTCTTATCCTGCTTCTTTCGATTTGGGACAGAGCCGTGGATTTGAAACCATTCCCCCACTTCCCCACAAATCTTTTTATAATCAATATCGTTCCACTTTCGATGAGAAATTTACAATGTCAGTTAATTCCAGCACGATAACCGCGGACGAAAAACTCCTCCACTACTCCAAATCTTGCAGTATTTTACGATATTCTTGCTTCTCGTTAAGTGTTGTTCGTTTTTCGGACTTTATGAAGCAAAATAACAAGTGAATGCTATTTGGAAGTAATGATGCTCGAAATCATCACCACAATCGTAATGTTGTGAACGCCGCTTCGGAACCACACTGCATCACCGATTCCTTCTGTCACTATACCAGTAGGGTCCGTAATCGATAAAATAGGCGTTTAAATACAAGAAACATGATGTCCTTCCGAATATTTTTGAAAAAAACTTTAATAGTCCATTTGAACGTGGTTATCATCTTGGTGCTACAAGCTTGGCTCGAAAACAATGGCATGTGTGTCGTTTCACATAACAGATATCCATACAAAAGGAAAATTCTAACAATTTTGGATAACAAGATTCATCCAAACTTGCTCAGTAAGGTGAGACGTTTCTATATTTTCAAATTTTCGTGAAGTTTCTGTCGAAACGCCTCAATTTGATGCTTTCTCGAAACGAGGCTTTAACTTTGACCGTCCTGGGGTTCGGCGAAACTGAGCAGGCCTTTCCTGCTTTCAATTTCGACAATGGTTCTTCTGGTCAATAAGGTCGCGATCTCAATATAAGATCGACATAGGAACCTACGCTGTTGTCAGTTGACGGAAGCCCAGAGTACGACCAACCATGAACTCAAACACTCATTTGCAAATTCATGTGGTGTTAACGGAAGAGTCAAATGATATTCTTCAACACAGTGTGCCGTAAACCCCTCGTGTCTCAGTTGGATCGATAATTAACAGTGGGGGGTCGCCGAGTCTCCCACCAACACCGCCTTAATCTGAAAATAATTATTTGCCTCTACATACGTCCAGTTTAGTGTTCGATTATGGAATAAGATTATCACATTTCCCGGAGCTAAGCCTACCTGATAAACCCAATAATGGAGAAAATTACAATAGGCTGTCGAGTTTTCGTCGACCTTATTGGTAGCGTTATGTCAGTGTGTCTTCATAAGTTGTAAGGGTATGGTTTGGGATGCACCAAGTTAAGGCTTATTTGCCGCTGCTGATTGCTATGGAGGTTGTAAGGCTTGCACATAATAGCACTATGTCACTATGAACACCCGGAAACGCTTGCTGTTCGGTTCTAGACGGTTTCTCCCGAAGGAGAGAATTTGGACTCAACGGCCTCCTCGAATAAGGCTTCACGGTTTCTCCCGAAGGAGAGAATTTGGACGTAAACACTCCTTGCCACTCAACGGCCTCCTCGAATAAGGCTTTTGTCATCATCATCACCAAGAGGACAACATTAATTCTCATCACCAATGCCTTTCTGCCGTACAGCCATAATTCACCATGGGAACTCGGGAAAAAATGATAAAGAGCGATGAGGAACGAACCTAGTGCTAATCTACTGGCTTAGTGCTACACCGAAGATACGTAGGAAGCACTGGTATCTGAGTCGTACTTGCCGATTAATAGTGATCAAACGGTGAACACGCGCGGGCAGTAAGAGTCATAGACGGTTGGTGCTGAGCCGAATGTAGTGTTGCAAGTAAGCCCTTGGCACTGATTTAGACCCGATGGGACAAGATCGGCAGCGGAACCTGCAGAGGCCTGTTGCAAACCATCGGCTAGCCCGAACATGATGACACCGACATCGTTTACTTATTCATCACCGAGGTCTGGCGTTTTCTCGACCAGTACTTTTTAAACCACCAACGATCAGGGATTAGACATTTATCAGATGCAATTGTTGGTAGTTGCCTGTGGCGACATACCTGATATTGGGTAGTTGAACCGCAAGTCCCGATGGACACTGATGCTAGCTAAAAAGTCGTCACCATACCTAGATAGTACATTCGGTTACCGGCGGCTTAGATATCACGAGTACCCGTGAGCGTCACTTTTTGTAATATTACGTGACCACTCGGTAAGCTCGTCATCATAATCGTAGTTAACTGTAAGAACCGCTTACTTGTACAATGTTTATAGCTGCCACAGTTTCATTCACGGATGATTTGTAGAGGTTGGGTAGGTAGCTGCGCATTGGAGGCAGCAGTTGGCGTAATTGATGCGTTCTCAGTGGACTTTTAAGTGGGAAGATTGGGAAGGGATCTATGCACCGAAGGCAATACCTTGGGTGTTTGAGTGAAGTCGTGACTGGGCTATGTCTGACAATGTCTCTAAACATTGGTTTTCACACAGCGTCCGCGTACCCTTTTTAAGAATAGGGATAATTATCAACATGCTCCATACTGCATGCACTTTATATTCGTTCCTGATAGCATCGATAAGTTTTATCAGATGTGTCTGCCTTTTTTGAAGAGGGCTGAATACAGTCCGTCTGTTCCTGGTGCCTTCTCACGTTTCAGTACTGAGATTTCGTACTTTCGTTATTTCTTCCGAAAAGCTCGTGTTTGATTCAATTGCCAGACTTCAACCTCAAATAGATTATCAAGAGTATTTTGTAATAACGTTTGGGCGGCCAAGCGCGTCGCTCTTTCTGGCGGTTGTCATCTCAATCGGATGTCCTTTAAGATGTCAACGCAATACTTTTAATGCTTCCTTCCCACCCCAAATCACAGGGTATGTATAATGCGTTGGTTGAAAACTGTTCACTGATTGTTTCGCTGTGAGGTTCTGCTGTTGATTCGTGTCGTGTGGCCTAACGTGAAAGATGCCTCGCCTGCCAGTTTTCGGTCTGTCTGCTTTTATTGTATGTGGCTAATTTCTCTCCTCCTCCATGCAATTCCCACCGTTTTACGTTTGTTGTTGTCTCATTGTCACTTGCCCGACAGTGTTGTTAGTTTAATCACACAACCAGACTTCCAGTTCACTCGAATAAACATTTTCTTCCCACTCTGTCTAGTCGCACCAGTCTAGTGACGTTCGGTCGTTCTGCTTTCTTATGCCAGTACACCAGTCATTTAGCTCCTTTCAAGTGATGTGACGCATCTGCTGCTGCCGCCGCTGCTGACCTTGAACTCCGCCCACTGCCGCTTTGTCAGCGCCTTGTCTTATAAAACTCGTCTGACTGGACTCTTTCGCGTGTTGCTGTTTCCAGACCGTGTTTGTTGGTCATTGCCCAGCCCCAAGACGCAAGCAAATCAAGAGGATTGTGGGCCCAGACAGGGACTAGTATGGACCAATCGGGCAAGATTTACACCTGCGTTTCAGTCGAGACGATGGGTTTGAATTCCTCCACCTAATGTCTAGACGGCATCAGGGGCTAAGGCAACTTCAATGCTATAACAAACAAATTTACACTAGTCTTAGTTTATCGTTCTTTCTTATCTTGGCTTCACCCGGATCACTGAATTGTTGCTTTCTGAAACCAGATCAGAATTGGCTTGTGGGATCTCTGCATAGCCACGTGGTTACTGTAATTTTTCCAACTGTTACACCTCAATGCAATAGATCCACTAGACTACTCCCCCCCTTACAGAGAAACATCTTATTCCAGTCTTGTTCGAGCAAACCAATATCGCAGAAGGAACTATTCAATTTCCGGACAAGGAAAATAGCGATGATATTGTTGTGTTTCATGTATTCATCATCGTCGGTGTCAGTAATGCAGCTGCTGCACTATCCACCGACAACACCAGAGCTCTTCTTGACTTGGGCTGCCCCGATCGATCGTAGGGCTTGGGCTTTATTCGTGATAGCGTCTGTCAATTTATGTTATCCAGTTATTACACTATCGAAATCGGCAAACAGGATCAAATATCCCCAAATAAATCAATAGCTTTTTAGTTGTTCCGTAGTGTTCTTCGCGGGAGAGTCCTCAGGGGTGCTGTATACCAGGTTTTTATAAGATCTCTTGTCTCTAGGAGACTGTTTCACTAAAATGCCCATGATTTCGCTACCCGAGGAGTAACGTGGCCCCGAAAGAGGCTATGAATCTGACCATCTGTTAACAAACGGGAAAAACCCCACATGTTTCATACGCTTTATGATAATTCAGAACGGCCTACGTCGCAACTACAACCCAACCTTATGTCTGACTTCCACAGGAGATTAAAATGATCCCTTTCATTTTGATGACTCCTCCTTAAAGGAGATCTTCCTATAGCCTAGTTCACACTTCCTATCCTACTCTAGCTGGAGTGTACCAAATGCCAAGAACACTTGTATGCGTTCCGGATCTGTAACATTAGTATTCCTTCATCATCCCCATATGATCGAGGGTGGTCAAACACTGGTAGCCGAGTGGGTTTTCACCGGCGAATTGTAGACTTGGGATACGGTTTATGTTGGTCACCCCTTCTGATGGAAAATACCCAACCGACGAGTCATTTTGTCATCCTCCGGAGCTGTTTGTTTGTGGAGGAACTAAGGAGCCTGTTGTACCCATCTTACTTGTTTGGACTGCCTTTGGCTTGAGGCGATTTGCGCGGAATCTTTGGGAATCGTAGGCACTGCCGCAAGTGATAGCAGTACTGTACTCGAAACAGTGCTTGTTTTTGCATTTAATGTTTTGCGTTTAATGTTACTTCAAATCCTGATCCAATTGGTTTTTCATTAGGATATACCTGGTAAGCGACCTCAACTCACATTGCACACATTATTATTTGGTTCACCATGCTTCTAAACAAGTATATCATTTTGAATGTAATGTCGTGTTAAAACTGGTATTGTTTGTTCCGAACCTTATTAATCGTACTGAAAATGGTTGCTTGTGGCACTCGTTGGAGTTGACAAATTTGTTTCTCTCCCTTATTCAGGGTTGTTGGGTTCTAGCATTCGACTGGATAGAGACTTGTGCCCACGTAAAGATGCGCGTTGAAGAGGAGGGCTTCGAAGTGACTGGTTGCAGTACCACTCCCCATTCAGATGCACCTCGTCGTGCGCGTCTGGCCCGAGAAGCAGGTTCCTTGGGTCTTTTCCACGGATTTCGTTTCTGTTTCTTGGTAAGACTATCTAGCTTGTTACAGGGCCATCGTTAGAAACGTTTCCGTCTTTTTCCGTGTCTGTTCACGAAAGAGGTCTGCCGAAACGTAAGAAGAGCACAAATTACATACGTTGTGCAGCTGAGATCAAAGGCTGCATCTTTATTCACAACCAATGGCCGAGTATTGTTTGATCATTCGGGTGCAAACAAAATCTGGAGTCGATCCAAACAGTCACGCTTTAATTCTTATTGCGTTATCAGCGATAACCTCTTAGTAGTTTGAGCATGTCTGACAACCTACCGCGAACATGATCCGTTCACAGTACAACGTCCATCTTTTTTTAACTACGCGTGATTTCAGCCAGCATAAGAGTATTTTTGTGCACACACGTAAGACGACTTCATTTTTGGACCTATACTCTCATTGTTTTCTATACTACTGATTGTGGTGATTATCCACTAACCAGTTTGAATGAACATGATTGTTTTTACATTTTCTAGGGAGACTTTGTTTATCCAGTCCCTCCACGCGGCGATCTTGTTACCTTAGCACGGTCTGGAGGGGCAGTTGTGGTGTTCTCTCGCGATCGTTGTTCCCCACTTCGCTTGGCTCGTCTAGCGATCGAGACGAACGATCCTTCTACGCAGGCAACGTGGGAACTCGCCACGGAACCAGTGGATGATGACGCTGAGGATAGCGATCTGGAACTGGATAAGCCAACGCTTCAGGAACGTGTGGTTCCGGCTCCTGGCGCGAACGCTTCGTCTCCTCTGTTGGTTATCTATGATCCGGGATATCAGCGCGAAAAATCGAGTTCGATGAGCTCCGAGCCGGTTGTACCCTATGCAGTCGACATTGTATCTAAGGCACTTGGCATGCTTCGACCGATTGGTGACCAATCCAACTGCATGGAAGTCCCTTTAAAGGCTGTCCCATCGACTTGGCTTCTTGATTGTGCTGCAGAGTACAATGTTTTGCCGTTGCCCTCGTTGTAGATACGCTAATTCACAGTTGGAATCTTTTATTTTTCTATCGGCTTACTCATTCATCCGCTCAGATTTCGACCACTCATCCTTCAGATTCATACTTTGCTTTTGTGGTGTTCCACTTACTCGAGTTTCCACGGTTACATGTTAGTTTTTAATTCATCGCTCCATATTTTACCAGTATATCTCAGGGTCTGTAGCTTCCACGGTAATTACTAGGCATTTTCGCCGCTGAGGGATATGCTTTTGAAATAACTTCAAATACCACGGAACGAGGTGCTACACTAAATAGATCTAAAACATGCGCTTCCAGTCCGGCCACCACTCTGTAGTGACTACTTCCGTTCGGTCCAGTCGAATTCGTGTTTTAACGACAGCTAGAGTGAGTTTTTCTCTAACGTCTTCGATTACGTCATCTTTTTACGAAAGTTAGTGGAAGAAAGTTTCTGTTACAATATTGCATTACCATATCATTTAAGTTCATGAATAGATGCCGGATCGCAACATTGTCTATAGCATCAACCTCTTCGAAGCTATCGTTTTCTGCCGGCTCCTTCATCGATTCAGGTCTCTGTGTAGCCGCTGCAAATCGCATCTGATTCATCTAGTTAAATCTGGACAAATGCGTGATATAAGCTGATCGACCGTCATTCGTCGACAGTAGATATGGATAGCTTTCCTGTTTGTTTGCCACTGAAAGGCCCAAAATCGATTACCATTGATCACATTTCATATTAACCTAGTCGCTTTCCTGAAGAGGAGGAACTCTCCCGTATATATAGTTCAAACCTCCTAGTCCCCAGATGCCAACTGTCTGCATCTGTCTGTCCACAGGATAATGACGTAGATTTAGTGGGGCGGTTCGTCGTGCCAGCGCGTCAACCAGCACCCCTTTAGTACTGGAGAAATTAGCCGACCCTATGGCAAATGATAGTCATTTCAGCTTGAATGTTAACAGCTTTTGAGCCGTAGTCTATTATCCATCTCAGTGTGTTGTATTCTCCCGCTTCACACGTGAATGGTCGTAACTCTCATGGGATCTTTTTGATGAACTATTATTGAGAAGAGTTCATGGAGTATGTGAGACTGGTTTGCTCACTCACACATCGATTTAGCAGCATCTACGAGGATGAATGGTACTTTCCTTCATTGAGCAGGCGAACCGAACCCACAAACCACCGTCGGAGTGGTGTCAGTCGTTTTCCCTCGATTCCATGCACTGGACCCTTCACTGCACGTTTTAGGAGGCTGGCGGTCTGATAGCTTTTGTCAACTTTAGGGGAATTACGTGAACGGAAATCTTTACCTTAAACTGAGCCTTGATCACGTGATGAAAAGCAGCGCCACACGTCCCACTAGATTTCACGCATTTCCCTACTGCGGTCAGATTGTCGGTTTCCTTAAATATCTATTCTGAGAAACACTGTGCCTGTTTATTTCATTGACCAGCCGGATGACTCTCCTTCGTTGATTGCCGTATATTTCAGTCATGCCCGCGATTACTGAGGAGAGAACATCTGGTTACCAGTTGAGTGTGGGCCCTAATGTCAGTCCGGTAGAACATGTAATGTACATAGTTGCTCTTGATTAAACAGAGTGCTGTTACTGTTAAATTAATTAGCCGTTTACTTTCACTGAGTGGAAATTTCGTGACTGAACTATATACCATTGCCCTTGGAAGCTGTTTAACCTACCTTAGGAACGCCTACAGGCCGAACGGTTGCGGCGCACTCTGGAATTACCAGATGTTAGTTGTCATTTGTTACTCCATGGATGGATTTGTGGAATAAATGTCAGGACCCGATGCGTCGGATTTCAACCTAATTAATTAATTAATGTTACCGATAGAGTATTAAAGAGTGGAGAATCAATCGTCAGAAAGCCTCTACAGACAGAAACAGAATTTACGCGAAAGTGAACCGGACTCCTTAACAGTTCTGGCTTTTCTGAAGAAAACGGTAGGCTTCAGATATGGGTTGTGCTTGAAAACTGAAGAGACGATACTATGAGTGTGAGCGCCTGCTGGGGTCTGGCTGGATGCCAGAAGCTGAGTTGTATGGTTCAAGATTGAGAATGGACGCGAGAATGGAAGCGAGCTCTGACTATCGATAAAATGCAGCAGGAGACTACACATTGCAGCACCGAAACTCAACTTGCTAGTCGTCGAATGTGAGACCGTACTTCTGAGGTAGGGAGTCAACTAAAACAAACCTTTTCATTTACCTTTCAGCCAGCGGTTAGTCTGTTTATCTGCAGTCCCTACAATGAAAACCGACTGTATGCTTCTTATGCATATTCCCCCGATTGCTCTATTGTGAGACTCAAAGAGCGGTACTGCATTATGTTTACCGTCACCTTGAATACTCATTAATTAGATAATCGTTCCCATATTACTATATGGATCAGAAACCTGGCCGCTGCGCGCCGAGGATGTCAAAGACCATCAATGTCTTCGGAGCATTGCCCGAATCTGGTGGGAACACCGGATCAGCAATTCTGAAGTACGTCGAATGGTATTTGGGAGAAATAACTCACCCTCGATAGATGAACTGATCACGCTTCATAGGTTGCGCTGGCTTGGCCACGTATTGCGTATGCCAGTCGACCGACTTCCTCGAAGGGCTCTTTTCGCACAACCACGTGAAGGGTGGAAGAGAGTCAGAGGCGGTCAACCAATGACTTGGGAGCGAAGTATGAAAGCTATTACCAGCAAACTTAGCTGCGCTGGTCATTGCCGTCTTCCTGGATGGGGACCCCGAGACGGGCCACATCAATGGCTAGAGACATTGTCAGATATGGCCCAGTCGCGCCCTCAATTGCGCTCGTGCATCCAAGCTATTGTCTTCAATGCATAGCTCCTTTTCCAACCCCCTCACCACTTGACAGCCCACTGAATATGCTGGATTTATGCACCAATTTATCATCTCCCGCCTGCAACGCGCAGCTACCTACCCCTCCCCTCCAAACCACCGGTGAACGAAACTGCGGCACCTAAAACCACAGTACGACGAGTACGCGGTTATTACGGCTGACAATGATGATGATGATGAGATAATCGTTCAGTTTCGACACCTTTTCGGTTCCTAGCTGCCATGCCACCCGAAGGGAGCACGAGACCCTGTCAGGTTGCCCAAGCCTAGATGGGTGCACCCGAACCAAAAACCTTCCGATCAGTAAGTTCATGCCTTAACCACTGAGCTATGTTGAGCTCATTGTGGTAGAGCGCATGTTAAGGCAGGATCCAGAAATAAAGACACATGTAAAAATCACGAAACGACTGAACAGTTACCCGACGTTCGTAGATTTGAACATTTTTAACTCAAGAGTAGAAATAAAGAATCTGTTTGTCTGTAATGGTGAAGCATGAATGCACAATTTGACGAAACGATGGTTGACAGTCAAAATCAAGGCAACCAAGCAGAATTTGTATGATCCATTGGGTTATTCAGGTCCGGACTGCAATCTTGAGAATATAAAATTGATAGAACAGCCAGTAACGCCGTTGGAGAAGAGTGGGTGAAGGATACTAACTCAAACCGTCTAAAGGCCAGAATAGCGCCGTGTGGGTCGGCCTGGAGAGCATCAAATTCCAATGGGAGATATTTGACTTTAGTGTCCAGTTCAGTAGTCGGTGATGGATGGCAAGCGATTTGAAATAATGCGAAATTTAAAAGGCCGCATCCTGTCCCAGTTGACGAGCTCCAATATAAGTTGACCCCATTTGTTGTTTATACACGCTGTCTTGGATCTGACTCATCCTTCTCTACTAGAAAGTAGTAAGCACTGTCGTCCATGCATAGCCCAGTAACCGCTTGATATGGATAAATGCAAGGTTACAGGGACAATATCCTCAGTGAGTGCCTAGCCGGAGAAGAGAAAGGGGTGAGTAATCGCAGAAGAGAATTGGGTGGAAAATGTATGTGTGTTGATGTTGAGTATTAGAACAGTCTCCATAAAGTCACACTTGACGAAATGAGAGAAAGTTTAGCCTAAGCTGCAAGCCATTAAATTGAAGTGAAACTTTGAGAAAAACCAGCTTTATTTCTCAGGATGAATACATGAATGCCTTTACATGCGGATGGCATCCGAACCCGCGTCGGTCACACCCAAGGAAATGTTACACTCAGGGTTCCAGCAGTGATCGTTCAGCAGTAGCATCCATTCGGTGCCTAGCTGCCATGCCACACGAGGGCTGGGGTACTGCCAGGTCGCCCAAGCCTAGACAGGGGAAGTGGGGAAGCAGAGATCGGGTTCGAACCACGGACCTTCCGGTCAGTAAATTCGCACTCTAACCACTTGGGCCATCTCACCCCTGACCAGCAGTAGTGCCGCCGGGGATACCTGAGTTGGCGCTGAGTGGTTTGCAGCGAAATGACTACGACCAGTGTGCAATTAAATCATAAGGTGACCTACCACCGTTTCAATGCACCCCTAGATTTGTTGATGAGTGGTTTATTGGATTAAGGATATTAGATACTGAGGGGCCAAGGGGAAGAATGTGCAAAGCGATTTCCTGGATTAGATAAGCTGTATGCAGCTAGCGGCGAAATGAGCTGCGTTGGCGTGAATCTGTAGTAACGTGGTGAAGCGCTGTATGAACGGTGCAGAAAACCGTTAGGTGAGTGTAGCAGGTGACCAGTGGGGATGGATAAACTTTCGGTCTTTCTCCCTTGTGGGGGGTTCGGTGTGGGCAATGGCACGAGAAAGTGCAAGCAGATGAGATACGTCACTCATATTTGGTGACTATGAAATCGCCACATGATATAAGTTATCAGACAACTTACATCCTAATGGAAGTATTTCAAAGAAGTTTGTTTGGCCGGATAATCTGTGGGAGTCCAAATTTCTGTCACAGTCTAGAATGTGCAATAGTGACAAGAGCGATGAAATCTGGAGACGAATCCTGCTCATGAAGTGAGGATCCACAGTCCTATCGCTGGTGCACATGTCGAGAAAATTGAGTGTCAGAGTCAGATCTGTGTGGGATGTTGTCTCGCGCATACTCTGTG